TTTAGTATTCTTATATTTTCCTCTTGATTTACAATAGTAAAAGAGTACTTATTACCCATCAATTTCTTTTAGCAATCGTTGTATTTATACTCCCCCACCCCCACCTCCCATAATAAATTAAAATTTATCTATGATTTGTTTATATCGCTCATAAAAATAACATTTATCTATGATTTGTCTATAACGTCCATAAAAATTACTCCCTCTATTCCATTTTATGTGAGGTACTTTGACTCGGCACGGAGTTTAAGAAAAAAAGGACTTTTAAAACTTGTGGTCCAAAGTGAATGATATAAATTTGTGTGGCTGTAAATCATTTCATTAAGGGTAAAATAGATATTTTATAGCTAAATTGTTACTTGATATAGAAATGTGTCATTCTTTTTTGGACTGACTAAAAAGAAAAGTAAGTCACATAAATTGGGACAGAGGGAGTATCAATTAATGGGGTTAGTTAAAAGTGTGATTCCCGAGTAAGTGTGCATGTATATTACTCGTGAACAAATTTGTATTTGAGGAAACAAACAAATTTCATTTCAGAAATAAAAATTATAGGGAAAAAAGATAAATTTATCCCGAACTATTGTAAATGGTATGCAGATACCTTTCGTCATATTTTTGGGACATTGGTGCCCCTACTGTCTAAAAATTAGAGCATATATACCCCTTATACGATGATAATAGCTTTGATATCTATTCAACGTATCCAAAAGTAACAATATAATAACACGAAGGACAAAAGGCTTCGTATTTTTCAATTTATGAAGTTTACTTTTCCGATAGAAAAATACAGCTTCAAGCAATACTTTTCAATAAGCAAATATATATAGTGGCAAAGAAGAAGTAAAATGAATTGAAAATTTATAAATTACTCACTTTGTTCTTAATTATTTGTCCACTTTTAAATTAACATATCTATTAAAAAAACAATAATTGACATAGTAAATTTACCATTTTACCCCTATTAATTATGAAGTGGATGAATTAAAAAACTTAAGATTTTCTAAAATTTTGACTTTTTTCAAAGTAATTAAGGACAAATGAAGTATTAAAATTAATAAAAAGAAGAATGATTCCACCTCTCAATAGGATGAAAACTCATCACCTTTTGCATAATACTTTACTATCTAGAGAAAATTTGATGAAAGAACAGTTGCATGTTTCACAATTAATAAACTTATTTTTATAATATAACAATAATTAATTGAAAAACCATTTCATATTCACAATTTAAAAGATATTTATTCTTATAATATATAACATATAGGGGAGGATATAACATTTGTAAAAATAGGGAAAAGACACAATAGTTGAAAAATACAGTTTAATGGGATATTTTGTTACAGATTTTTAAGAATAAAAACAAAACAAAATAAAATAAAAAATTTGAGAAAACAAAGATATAGATGGTTACTTCATCTATCTTAAATTCTCGATTTATTAAATACATTTTCAATTTCAAAAGTTAATTTTAGATGATAAAACTTATATATATTGATCATTTAAAATTATTATTAAAACACATACTGTAAAGAAAAAAATAAGTTTGAAATTATAAAAGCGGCCAGTAATTAAATTGGGTCAGAGAGCAGTGAGCAGTACGAACAGAACAGAAAAGTTCAGTAGTAGTGTGAGAGAAGATCGAAATATGGCCGGAGCGACGGCGAACTCTGTTCCGGCGACCGGCGTTAACGTCGGAGCCAATATGACGAGCGCATCGTACGTAAACTCAGTCCGAATCTCCGCCGCTGCTAATCGATTTGCAACGCTGCTATGTAATCATCCCCAAATTGATGCTCAGGAGATCGTTCAACTCTGCCTCTCACTTGCAAGGTACCAATTTTTTTCATTCTCGAATCTTCTTTGGCGGAAAATATTACTTATGCTACTTCTGTATTTGCTATTGTAATTTTTTCTTCTTCTGTTATTACTAGGGTTTGGAGTAGCTTGTTTAATGTGTTTTGATTGTCACTATTTTGTTACTCTTATTTAAGTAAGCTTGAATTTCGATAACACCAATAAAAATTATGATGAAGTAGTAAATATGTCTTCATCTTTAAACAAACTTCTCCCGTTTGATTTTTCTTAAGTACAAAATGTCTTTGTCTGAGGCGTATTCAGGATTTCGTAAGGATGAGTGCATTTTTACAAAAAGATGCATCTAAGATATAAATTTGATAGGTTTAACCTTTACGTTCTTAACACTGAACCGTTAAACTTTAAAAATTATAGGTCCAACATAGATAATACTACTAGTTTTAAATTTTAATATACACATTTGATTTAATTATATAAAAATTATACTGTGCTAATTTTTTTTTAGGAATTTTCAATGTTACACATTTGAAAATTTTGAAAGATTAAAGCAAAAAAATAAAAGAAAAATTGATTGAAACGCCAAAAGTGCTACCGATAATCACTTGGAGGGGGTGCTAGTAACAAAAATAAGATAGATATAAGATTTAAATTTCTATATTTGCTTAAAGAGGTGCACCCATCTTCATCGTATTATTATATGTTACTTTTAACGTGGGTTCACACCTCTATATTTAAATATATTTTTAAAAAATATAACACTATTATATATAATCTAGAGAGGGGAGCATGGGTTCACGTGAACCCACGGAACCCCCTCTAGATACGCCTCTGGTCTTTATTAGAAAGAACTTTATGTTTAATGTGAAATTTTCTAGAATGAATTTAAATTTAATCACACTCCAATATATTTATCGAACATCGAATGAGAAATAAATCAATAAAAAGCTTCATTAATATGTCAAAAGAGTGTAAGCTTACTATTGGGAGTTTTTTTTTTTTTTTTAGAGGAAACCATCTAAGCACCTATGAAAATTCTGAAATGAATTGTGCATTTTAAACTAGAAGAATCTATTTTGTTGGTGTGCTTTAATGCAGTAGGTCGTAAGTTCATTTGAACTTAGTATTTTTGATGTAAAATATAAATTTATATATAATAAATAAATAAAATTACGATAAATATTAAGATTGAACCTATAATTTTACAAATACAGGAAATCTAATACTAAAAATTCCAAAATTTAAAATAAAAGCTAAAATTCTAATTTCAGTCTTTAAAAACACAAAAGGATATTGTTTCCTATTCATCCTTGGGTCCTTTTCCATTTCTTTGTTAAAAACATGACACTTGCTAGCATATTTATGAGGTAATGAGAGAGATGGAAAAAGTTATATATATATATATTTAAAATTCACAATAATTATATACTAACGAAAATTTTCCAATTAAATTATATATCTCGCAAAAGTTATAAAATAAACAATCAATAATAAGAATTTCCTGGTTGCCCTTTGTAAAATAAATAAATATTAAAAATGAAATTACATTATTAACAATCTCATATAACAAGTGCGCTATTACTTAACTGGCGAACTGTGTTCACACCTTTCACTCCAATAATGGAGTTTCGAATTTCACTATCCCCTCTTTCCAAAGAAACTGAAAAATCGGCTTAAATAGGAATTAGTTGATAATTAAACAAACTATAGAACATAGTTATGTTGTAAAATTCTTCTAAAATAAGTTAATAATATTATATATATATATATATTTCAAAAATAATTTTAAGAATCTATATATTGCAACCAGCTATTTAGATATTTTTTTCATTTTCTTAAAAAGATGTATACTTATTCCCTGGTCCTTGTGTATGCAGTATGCCTAAGATACATGTACATAATTAATTAGTGTATTTTTTTTTCTAATTTTTTTTTCTTGCTTCATTATCCTATTTGTTATTCCATATTAATTACATTTTGAAAGTTAATTTTAGTTTGTTAACTTGGTTGAATATAAATAAAATTTTACAATAATAACATATATAGTGAAATTTTATTAAGCTGGGAGGGTAGAGTGTATACTTAGAGCCTGTTTGACATTGCAGCTAAAACTGCTTATTTCTAGAAGCATTTTTTTAAAACGGCTTTTTAATAAAGTACATTTAAAAAAAAAGCAATTTGTATTTGACTATTTCATTTGAAAAGTGCTTTTGATAAACAAATCACGTTTGACTAATTTAAAAAAAATAAAGCTTTTGAGAGACAAATTACGAAAAAGGATAAGTATCAATGTACTTTTAATATTAAGATTGTTTCATAGAGAGAAACTATTTTAAATATCCATTAGAAAATTTTTAATTAAAATTTTATTTTAATTAAATTAAAATATACGTATTCAAATTTTCAATCAATATTATACATAAATAAATAAATAAAATATTAACATGATGACTTAAATATAATTCAAAATATCAAGAAAAATAAATTTAAAAACCATTCTGCAAATTAAATTACTTTATACAAAAAATTCACCATAAAATAAATAAAGTCCTTCATATTTTTAATCCTACCAAAATGTTGTTGTTACATTTGTTTCTGATTTTGTAAAATAAAACGTAAAATTTTATATAAAATAATAATAATATATAAGCATAAAATAATAATAAAATTATTATTTAAAAATAAAAAATAAAAAATAAAAAATAAAAACAAAACTCTTGAATAAAACTTTACCAAATCTATGAGATATGCTAATAAGAGATATATTGGTAAATATGTATATATGAAAGGATATTTCAGTTTTCAAGAAAATAATTTCCGCTTCTACTTCTATTTTTTTTAAGAAGCAGTAATTTTTTATTTTTTCCCAACCATAGAAAAACGGCCAAACACTAATTTTTTCGAAATAAGTGATTTTTCGCAAAAAAAATATATTTTTGACCTCTCAACAACAATGTCAAATAGACTCTTAGAGGAGGTAGATAAATTATTTTCGAAAAATGCTAAAGTGCATCAAACTCAATCAAAAAAAATAAAATAACGAACAAAGCATAAAAGTAGTGTAAAATCTAAAAGGAATTTTTTTATAAGTCATTGATCATATAAAATATTATTAAAGCACATTAAAAAATTATTGTAAAAAAAGAAAAACAAAAAACTCAATATTATAAAGATGGCAGTAAATTGGAACAGAGCACTTATTCACAGTGGAACTGTTTCGACAAAACCGAAAAGTTCACTGTGAGAGAAGAAGAGCGAAACATGGCCGGAGCGACGGTGAACTCCATCCCGGCGACCGCCGTTAACGCCGGAGTTGGCAGAGGAGCCAATATGACAGGCGCGTCATACGTAAATTCGTTCCGAATCTCCGCCGTAGCTGACCGATTAGCTAAGCATGTGTGTAATCAGCCCAAAATTGACCCTCAGGAGTTCGTTCACCTCTGCCTATCACTTGCAAGGTTCCAGTTTTTTCCTTCTCGAACCTTATTTGGCCGGAAATAATCGATATGCTACCTCTGTAATTGTTATTGTTTTCCCCCTGATTTTGTACCTGCGCTTATAGTTGTTAGGTTTTGATGTGTAGGTTTTTAGCCCTCGTTTGTTCAATTAAGTGTCAGTTTTTGCTTGATTTCGCATTTTACATTGAATTGTTTAGGGTATCTACTCTGCTTAGCATTTATTTTTTCCCCTCATTTGTCTTTGAAATTCTAGCTTGCTTTGTTCTTCATCTCAACTAATTCTATGTGATACCTGCAACCTCCCATTAGGTACTAGGTCCACTAAGGCTAGGACAGATGCGAAGAAATCACTTTAGTATTTTTTTTTGTTTTTGCTGAGGTTTGAACCTGAGACTTCAGGGTTCTCAACCCACTTCGTTGACCACTAGGTCATACCCTTGTGAGTTAAAGGCTAAAGCTCGAAGGAAAACAACCAAAAAAGAAGAAAAAGATGGAGCCCATCACTCATGCCTGCAGTATTAAGACACAGATTAGGACAATCATGTCTAAGACCAATAGCAACAAAAAGGAAAGCCATCAAAGAGTACGGTACCGTGACCGTGGAAGAAGAACCATTGAGTCCCGCAGTTAAGAATGACAATTGAATCCCAGGGACTATTGAACAATACCATTAGGTTATTAGACACAGTAATACTGCAGCAGCAAGAAGTTGGGACACAAAAAATCCTAATTTAGGGTTTAAGAAGTTAATCTGAACGAACAATTGTTATGCAAATGGGAAAAACCAGTATATGCCAGCGAATGAAAAGGGAAGACAAAGAAATATTGTAGCTTTGAATCTTGTTAACTGGGAAGCTTCTTTCTTCTGTTGATGTTTTCTCTGCGTTGGGCGTACTGAAAACTGGAGGTGTTAGTGCAAGATCTGGTTTGAAACGTTTTCTCAGAATTTTGAAACCGGTGCTTTGACCGTCTCCTTTTTATCAGGAGCAATAATTGACCTTTAATTTTTAGATTTGATAATTGATTAAACTGAATTAGATCGGAAGAAAAAGACCAAAAATCTGAGTAAATAGATAATTGCATTTCCTGATCTATTGTGACGCAACATCACCAGGCCCATGTTTTCTTTATATATATAAGGTGGGAAGAATCTAAGTCAAAAGTTGGATTACAAAAATACCCCTTATCTACTAATTTATTTTCTTAAAATCGTTTTAAAAAATTACTTTTTCATTTAAAATCAACTCCATAACTACACCCCTTCATTTTCATAACTTATATTCATAATATTCATTAATCTTATGCCTTTAACTCACACATTATCTTAAATCAATATTATTTTCTACTTTTTAGCTTCGATCGGTTAAAAGAACTTTTCATATTCTTTAACCTTCTATAAAATAAATAGTTTTAGGCTTTTAGCCTCTGGGCCATTGTCAAATTATTATATGCTTCTTTTTTTAAAATATCCAATATATGACCCTTCGGGGTGGCCCAGTGGTTTGGGCTTGGGACTTCCATGTTGGAGGTCTCAAGTTCGAAACCCCTTGCCAGCGAAAGCAAGGGGTTTGCCTGCTGGGTCGAGCTCGTCGCACCGGGCTTGCCTAGTGCGGGTTTATCTTCCTATTCATTGCAAGGAAGAATTCATCACCTATAAATAGTGTGGTCTTCCTACCCTCCGGGGTGGCCCAATGGTTTGAGTTTGGGACTTCCATGTTGGAGGTCTCAAGTTCGAAACCCCTTGCCAGCGAAAGCAAGGGGTTTGCCTGCTGGGTCGAGCTCGTCGCACCGGGCTTGCCTAGTGCGGGTTACCTCTCCTATGTGGTTTGCGAGCTATTGCATAGGAGCAGGGGTTTTACCATGTGCGCACCCAAAGGGTAGAGGTTGCGGGTTTCCCTTGTCATAAAAAAAATAAATATATATGGCGTATTCTTAGCACTTTCAACAACAAAGGTATATTCTTATTATATTAGTTTCTTAGACCTTTGCTTTGCTCTTAATAATTTTTGTTCTTTGTTGTTCATTGCTTGCATTTTCCTTCTTCAGACTTTGTTTTATATCATGTGACTTATTTTGCTCGGTCATTTTTTTGAATTTTCGCATCTGCTCAATCTTTTCATTCCCTTTTCTATTATTTTTTAAAAATTGTACTAATTAGCATAGAATACACATGCAACACACTTGTTCGAGAACTAGTTTGTATATATATATATATATGAATACATGGATAGATAGATTAGCTTGTTATCAGCAAGAGCAACACATTCATCATGCAAAATAGTTTTATTTCCTCCATCCTTCAAAATCCTGCTGTTAAATTGGGAATATGAGTTCCACAGTTATCAAAAAAAGGAGGAGGAATGTGAGTCTGTCTCTTTCTTGTTCATGGTGTCAAATTAGCTAGGGAAGTGGTCGTGGTGACTTTTAACTCATTTTCTTTTCTGTATTGTGTCCCTTTCTAGAGTGCAGAGAAGGGACACATAGTCTATGTTTCTTTATCATGTTAACTGTTCTTGATTGATTGATCTTTGATTAATGCAGAGGCATTGATTTTGCCATTGCAAACCGGGAGGTCCCAAATAGAGCTCAAGATTTACCTTTACTGGTGAAACAGGTACTCTTGTAACACGAAGTCGATTTCATCATATTGCATTAACTTTATTGATCTGATTATGAGTTGTGTAGCATAAAACATTAATGTTATATCAGGAAATAGGTGAAGTGTCATTGTCAATTGTGTTCACTTTTAGGAACCCAAACTCTCCTAACAACAAATCTGTAAACTTCCAAATGCAATACAGAAATAGGAACAACACCTCAACTGTAATTTACCAACACCAACATATAAAATAAGTCTTACAAATAGCAAATAGAGGATACTTCTAACAACCAAGGTATTTTGAGGAACCTTAACCTCCAAATCTGCCAGAGAAAATCCTACCAAACGACTGACTATCTTTTCTTCTTCCTAGTACTATTTATCACAAAATAACTACCTAAAATGCTAGGTAACTACTAGAAATACATATACATAATAATTAATAAATAAAATAGTTACATTTAAGCCTTATTTTCACCCTTCTTCATGCGGCTATAGACCCTATTAATAGCAGGTCTAACAATACCCGCCCCAACGAGTTTCACCTTGTCCTCAAGGTGAAATTGAGGAAACTGTGCATCAATGACTTCATAGGATTCCCAGGTGCTAAGTCCTTCCACTTTATTAACACCTCGTGGGAGCCATTCAAGAGTACGACAATCTACTACACCTTCAGGTTGCACTTGCATTTCATGTTCTTCAGATAAGAAAGGAGGGAGTTGCTGAATTGGAGTAGAATCCTCTACTGCACGCTTTTGCCAAGAAACATGAAATATTGGATGGACCCATGAATGAGGGGGTAAATCTAGGCGATAAGCAACTTCACCAATTTTATTCAAGATAGTATATGTCCCATAATAACGAGGACTTAACTTCTGATTAACCTTTTTTAGCAAGTGAGCGAAGCTTGAAAGGTTGCACGCGAAGATAAACCAAACCACCAGGCTGAAACACAACTTCATGGCGCTTAGCATCAACATAAACTTTCATTTGAGCTTGAGCACGGGTCAAATTAGCTTTGAGTTCATCTAAAATAGTGTTGCGAGCCATAAGCTGCTGATTAACCTCTTCTACAACAGAAATTTTATCAGTGAAACGCGACAAAGAGGGAGGACCTTGCCCATATAAAGCTCTAAAAGGGGTCATCTGGGTAGAACCATGGTAATTGGTATTGAACCAAAATTCAGCCCAAGGAATTCTTGGCCATTGTTTTGGATGTGCCCCTGCAAAACAACGAAAATAAGTCTCCAAAGAGCGGTTAACAACCTCAGTTTGACCATCTATTTGAGGGTGATAACCGGAGCTCAATTTGAGGCTAGTATCGGGCAACTTGAACAATTCTTGCCAAATTGGCTGACAAAAACCTGGTCTCGATCAGACACAATTGATTTGGGAAAACCATGCAGACGTACAATCTCACGAACAAATAGCGCAACAACACTCTTTGCTGTATATGGATGAGATAAGAGGAGAAAATGACTATATTTAGTGAAACGGTCCACCACAACAAGTATAGTATCACGTCCCATTGCTTTTGGTAACCTCTGATGAAATCCATAGAAATATCAATCCAAACTTGAGTAGGAATAGGTAATGGCTGCAGCAAGCCAGCGGGACTAAGGGCGTCATACTTGTTCTGCTTGCAAATTTCACAACTAGCCACCAAGTTCTGTACATTCCTTTGATTCCACTCCAATACAACACTTGTGAAATGCGCTTGTATGTCCAGAAAAGACTGAGCGTCCACCTGTAGGTGAGGAGTGAAATTCCTGAAGGAGCATGGGAATATGTAATGACGAACGGGGAATCACCAACCGACTTTTGAAAAATAGGCAGCCATTTTTTAGAACATAATTCAATCGTGAAGCTGGATCTTGAAGCAAATCTATTAATGTTCTAATTGAGCTGTGGATTGCTACAATTAGTTGACTGATTGCAATCCATGTGATCTGTATAGTTCGCTTATGCAAAGAATGTGTACTCTTTAATCCCTATTATATGAATTTGCTTATATAGTCCATAGTTTCCTATCTGTGACGATATACCTTTTTATCAAATGAATAACTGAAGCTGAAGTTCTTTTTTCTTCTTCTAAATTCATGGCATCGTGTAGGTATGCAGAATCCCCTGTGATACGTTACTGCTAGCACATGTTATGGTCCTTATGATTTCTGTCAAGGTAATTCCTAGACACTCGACCTTATGGGATAATTTTGAATGAATGCATGTTTTGCTGGCTTCCGCAATCACAAACGTTGCAAGTGATGTTTCAGCTTTCATTTCTGCAAAAAATAGATTACCAAGTCAAGTTATCTGGTTGTTTTATTGATATAATATTCATGGATGTTAGGTTTAGACGTTAAGTTTAATTTGGTTAAAAGATTCGATTAGAAATGATCACATTAGAGACAGAGTGGATGTAGCATTTTATAGAGGAAAAAATGAGAGAATGTTGCTTGAGATGGTTTGATCATGTGTTGTGTAGATGCCAAAAGACCCAAATCCATAGGTACGATACCGTGTAGATTTCTAAATGTTACCTTCTCAAAATAATAATAATTGAATGTGCTGAAAAGGGATGAGGTAGATGCAAAATTGCATGAGAAAAAAATGTATTAAAAGATGGCAGTCATTCTATCTTTAATAAAGGAAATTTTATTAGTAACATTCAAGACCAAGCTAGTACTGAATCGGAACAACCATTGCAGCACAGAGAATCCTTTTAAGCCTGCAAGGATTCCAGAAAGTCTAAACTTACATCAGAATCAATCAAAAAACAACATTACACTACTTAAATGTTGAATACAATACATCTGCTTGCAACTGAATAAATGTTTTCCTGGTTTCCATCAAAGCATCCTCATTTCCTGCCGAGCCAAATTTTCCATGTTATGCATAATGGGGATAGTCATCCATATCTTCTATTGTTGCTTCCTCATTCTCTAACTTCTCCAACTACAGAGAACTTGTTTGATGTTTGCTGACATAGCCAATTGAACTCCGCATAAGTTAAGAAACATGCACCAGATCTGCAAGACTGTTGTCTCCTCAAAATTTCTTGGAGCCTTGGCAATTTCCTCCGGCGCACCAAGGGGAATCTCCTTTCTGCTATTCCCACCTTCTTGCTCCATTTTTCTCCAAACCCTCAATTTCTGGTTCAAATTGCTATCGCTTCTTGGATTTAACTAAAAAAGAATACAATGGAACGAAAGAGATCCATATACTACCTATGGATTAAGGTTTATTTGTTTTTTCTTGGATTAAGGTTTATTGTTGTTCGTACACTTATATTAAGGCCTCGTTTGGGCTTTACAAATTTTGCTTTTTCAATTTTTTTCCCAAAAACATTGGATATACATTGTGATCAATTGTTTTACTCCAACTTGGAAGTTGAGTTTATCAAGTATCATTTTTTCAAGTAAATTTTCCCTCACAAAACTTTACCATTTTGAAATGCATGTCTAGACACAACTTCAAATACTACATTTTCTAAAATTATTACCAAATTCATGTCCAAACGTGTCTACTAACTCCTGGTAAGGGTAAGTGTAGATGTAGAGAACCTCTAATTTTGAAGAACCCTAATATGCTACTCCCTCTGTCCCAATTTATGTGACTTACTTTCCTTTTTAGTCAGTCCCAAAAAGAATGACACATTTCTATATTAAGTAACAATTTAACTATAAAATGTCTATTTTACCCTTAATGAAATGATTTACAGCCACACAAATTTCTATCATTCATTTTGGACCACAAGTTTTAAAAGTCTTCCTTTCTTTCTTAAACTCCGTGTCGAGTCAAACTACCTCACATAAAATGGATGGGACGGAAGGAGTATAAAACACAATTTACTTGCATATTTCGGGATGAAATGGGTCCAAATAGAGGAGTTGCAGTGCAGGGATAGAAGCTTGTGTTTTTTTTTTAAAATTGTTGGAGGGGTAGAAGCTTATGGGTTGTGGCCCAAGTGTTAAGAAACTCCGATTCATATTAGTTATTACCAAACCCAACTTGTTTAGGATTGAGCTTTAGTTGATTGATTGGTCGGATAAAAGAGTTCCACCTCCAATGAAATTCTCCCGTGCATTGGCTCGAGTTGTTCTATTTTCCACTATTGTGAATGACATAACCTGCGAAGTTCTAAGCCTAGGGCGGTGCTCTTTTTATTAAACTATATGGTGTTTTACAGGATATACTTAAGCTTACTGATTACCACTTTGCATGCATTAAATATGCTTGTTATTGGCACTTCCCGCAATTTCTTTATTGACCAGGTTCTTTATTTGATAGAATGCTTGTCATAGTGGGTGGTTTACGGAGAAAGATGCCAAGGAACTTTGTGATCTTGCAAACGAGGTGGATAAACTTGCTGGGTTGCTATGTCGTTTAGCTATCTCGCTTCTTTTAATTGATGTTTCATTGATTTTTTCTTCCTTTTCTGTTTGCATGTTCAGATTTCCAGCAGCTTCTGCACCACATTAGATTTTAACACTGAACCAAGCAGTTCTTCAACAATTATCTCGACGATAATGTCAAGGTAGGCATCTTTTCCTGCAGTGAAATCTTAATTTTTGAATCTTTCATTCTATGGTGTATGGCTCAACTTACCTCAGATTACTATTTGCTTTATATACCAAAGATTAGTTTTCGTAAAGAATATTTGTGGTTTAATTGTACAGGTGTTCAAAAATCTTGCAGCCAAAGAATCTTGTATTTTCTTCCCTTTCTTATTGGTTGATTATTACTGCTACTCACAGTATCGTTTTGCGAATTCATTTAAGTAAAATATTGTAACACTGAATGCTACTGCCCAACATGTGAAAGTAACAAATCTCATTCTTTCGTAAAGGAAAAGGGTGTTCTGTTAAGACCGTAGAGGTTGTATTTTTTATGCTACACTCTAAAGCTTAAAATTGCATGCAAGAGAGTTTTTTTTTTTTTTTTTTTTTTTTTTTTTTTTAATTACAGTGAATTTTGACCCTTGGGCCAAATTTTACAGTGACATGTATATCTCGTGGCTTTCTTCCACTGTTCAGTTAGAGGTCGAATTTTTCATTGATGAGCCTACTTGGTTTGTACAGTTATTTTCATTGGAACATGTGCATAACTACATTTCAAACTTTTGTTTGTTTGCGGATTGACAGATTTTATCCACGGCTGAAAATGGGTCAGATAGTTTCTTTCTTGGAGGCCAAGGTAGTAATTTAAAACACATCCCCCTAGTGGTGGCCTGTGAGCTAGTGTAATTATATTGCTGGTGATATTGATGCCACATTTTTTGCAATCTTGTAGCCTGGATTTGGTGCCTATGTGAATGATTTCCAGATAACAAAGAATATGAACCTTTCTGAAGGAGAGAAAGTGGTAAGAGAACTCCTAGATAATTACAATAAATCATATTTATATATCTTTTTTTCCTTTGCGGCAGGTAGGTAAGACTCTCGGTCTTTATTGAGGACTTTATGTGCGCCCTCGTTATCTGTATTTTGTTATTCATCAGTTTGTTGCTTTCTTGACTTCTTATTTTTCATTCCAGCAATGCATCAAAATTGGAAACCTTGATTACCTCTGGAAAATATTGCTCATTTTTATGTTTCCTTTTATCTGCAGAGACTATTTGTTGCACAAATAGATAATCTGGAGACCTCACTATGTCTTGTAACGCCTCCTCAAGTGAAGTATGAAGTGTTTTAGTTTTTACTGATTGAAATGGCTTTGGCTTATTGACTTGACATTTGGCAGGTTAAATTACTGACAATTCTAATTGCCATTAATGTCACTTCTGCAGCTTTCTTCTAAATGGGACTCCCGTCGGAAGGAGGACTAATGTGTCAATGGTCCGTTACCGCTAAAACTTTGCAGATGTGTTAGTATAGGGACGTCTTGTGTCTTACTGGGACTCAAATTACCTAAAGTTATGTTTCTTTTGCTAGGACCCTGGACCTCAGCTTCCATCTCCTGTACCTCATATGCTTAAATTTGGAACAAATCTTCTTCAAGCCGTGGGCCAATTTAATGGTGTGTTTGAAGATATATTCCAGTTTTTTTTAAACAAATGTAATGATATGACACTTGGGCCTAACTCAACCCCAAAAGCTAGCTTATGAGGAGAGGATTTCCCAAGTCTATATAAGGAGAGAATTCCCCAAATGATATGGGACTCTAAGCCATTCTAACAGAAACTGAATAGTACTAACTCTTTTCTGTGCTTATTATGAAGGAAATTATATCATAGCTGTTGCCTTCATGAGTGAGATTTCTACCCCTGTTCAGGCCACACTCCCTGATTACGAGCAGGCTCCTGTTTCTTCTGTTGATCCAGGTTTGTTCTTATTCTATGTTTCACCTTTTTTTGAGTCTTTTTACATGGAGTTTGTAACTTGTTACCCACTTGAATAGATGTATAGTTCAAGTTTTCCATTCCCACCATCCTCCAATGAGAAGTCTGAAGAGACCTCCTTATAAGGAGAAATGATTAATATGTTGTTTCATTAATGCAGATTCTGAGATTATTGAGGGGCCATCAAGAATTTCTCTGAATTGCCCTATAAGGTATGCTTTTCCAATCTTTGTTGCTTCAGAGTTTGACAAGGTTATGAAGTGGCTTTTGTTATCTTGACATGTGTGTAATTTTTTTCCTCTTCCCTGTACTCCTTGTGCATGATTGGCTTCATTCTTGATGATGGTAGTAAAAAAATGCAAATTTCTGTGTTCCTATTTGTTTTCTTTCCACCCCTTATCATCTCAAAACTCAGAATGACACTGCTTTTTGTGCTTTCTTCTGTGAAGAGATGACTGCCATCTTGGTACCCTCAGTTATTAGAGGTTGGTAAGAACCAACACACACACAAAAGTAAGGAAGAAAGAGAAGTGCTCTTTTGAGCAGAGTTACTTTAGTCTATATATACCTTAAGGTTTTTATGGTTTCAGGACAATTATCTCCATTTGTCTTGAACCCTAGACTTCCTAACGAATAAGGACTAGCATAATCCCTTCCCCTGCCATTCTGGAACATACTTAGGGTTTACGAAACTTTGGTGTGTGGATTAGGAATGATGGGGAAGACATGATTGAGATAAGGTACTTCCTGTCATGATTATAAGCATATTTTATTTGCGTCAGCATAATTTATTTTAAGTAAGGTTGCATTGGTCATTTCATCTAGATAGTTGGCCATCAATTTGAGAGGGGTTGTATCTCCTCATATTTCGGAACAAACCAAATCCGTTTCACTTCATTCTTCTCAAGCAGGATTATGTCGCTTACAATATTATTAAAGAAAGGGCGCTTATTGCCCTTTATGGTAAACACCTTACTGAACCCATGTAATTGTAATCAACCTTGGGAGCCCATGTATATTTACCTCATTTACCACCCTCTGCCCCAAAAGATACGCATCTTTCTTTTCGTGATGCTGGCTGTTGTGTTACATTGCTGATTACTTTTTGTTTGCCTTTACAGTTTTAAGCGTATTAAAACTCCAGTAAAAGGACATTCTTGCAAACATCTTCAGGTGCATGCCTTTTTGCGTGATCCAAAATAAATTATTATCTGATCTCTCATGCCAGAGTATAGTATAGCTCACATACATGTTAAAAACTTGCCTCTACTTTTCCTCTTTAATTTGTTTTTATTTAAGGTCTTTAATCTGTTAGAAATATGGATGTGGCTGATCCTGCAAAAGACGTCTAATGATCTAATATATAGGTTCCTCAGAAAATTTCTGGAAGATTGTGTAGTCATTAGCATTGGTAGATGTTTTACATCAAGAAAATCTTAGCAAGAAGCTTCATGGGTGCACTTAAAAATGAAAACACCAAAAAGCAACTCCATAGATGTTTTTGCCGAATATAATAATTTTTATTTGAATAATATATTTATATTAAAATCCATCATTAGATATAAAAGTCAAATGTTAGTACTTAAAATTATTGTTCTAAAATTTATATCATTAATAGCTCTGCTTTTGGATTAAGAACCGATTTCTTGTGGACAAATGTACAACTACGTTAGGACCATCCTAAGAGACCAATCTAGATAAAACGTATGTTAAAGTTTTTAATGACATAAAAAGTCACGTTACTATACAATAAGCAATCGAAAAATTGCGGTGAAAGTTAAATTATAAAGGCAAGAAAACAAGCTTAAAATTGACAAGAAAAAGAGAATTAGGAGAGTAAGTGCATGTTTGAATTTAAAAGTTGGTCAAACCTACTTTTAAGTTATTTTTAACTTTTGAGAGTGTTTGACAAATTTAAAAATAACTTAAAATAAGTTTAAAAGTCAAAAGTAGGACTCTCCTTACTTTTTTTTTTGGACTTGAAAGTCATTTATGTTTGGACTTTAAAAAGTTACTTTTTAAAAGCCACTTTTTAAAGCCAATCCAAACGGGCTCTTAGTCAATTTTTCTTCACTGTTATTCCCTACCCTTACTGGTTTGCACTGTTCATGTTTTTCTTGGCAGTGTTTTGATTTTGACAACTATATTGACATAAATTCAAGGAGACCATCGTGGCGTTGTCCTCATTGTAATCAACATGTGTGTTTCACTGATATTCATATTGATCAAGATATGTTCAAGGCAAGTGGCATGCTGTATTATACTTACCACAAATTACCTATCTAGAAGTAACATTTTTTTTCTTCTAAAGGTTTTGAAAGAGGTGAGTGAGGATGTCACAGATGTCATGATCTCGTCTGATGGTTCATGGAAGGCAATCATGGAAAGTGATGACTATTCTGAAAAGCCCAGGGATAAAACCCCTGAAATTGCTCAAGATAGTCCACGTAGAGGTTCTGATGGTCCTTCAAATGCCCCCGGTGATGTTTTAGATCTTACTGACATAGATGATGACATGAATCCTGCTGAAACTGAAGACAGCAAAAATTTTCCTACGAACATTCAAATGCAATCTAATGTTCAGAAAACAACAGCTGTGAATAATCCAAGTGAAATCAATCAGACAGGTGCTCCTGATATGACGGATGATTTCTGGTCAAGAATCTATTTGTCCTCGTGTGGAATAGGGACATCTAATTCTTGGTCCAGTATGCAAACTGGCAGTGCTTCTGAGCCTGCTAGAACCGACTTGGTCCAGTTGCCTGTCTTCACAGATGCAATATCTCCCGCTTTCAACACTGAGGGAAATGCTTTTATTCCAACCTCTGTACTTGAGAGTGGACTATCTTCTTCCAATTTGCTGCAGATGCAGTTACAACAGTTCCAATTTGGGAACTCTGCACTCAGCAATGAATATGGAAGGTTTCCAACTGGAGCCAGGCCTGCAAACAGAACTCCTGTTGCAGTTCAGGCCCTTCCAGCCCAGATGAACACTCTTCCTCAGCAGAGACAACAAAGCACAATGAATCCCTTGTTCCATGCTGGTCCTTCAGCAGCTACTCAGGATTTGCCTATTGCGTCATTGGATGGTTCCAATCTAAGAAGTGAATTGGAGAGACATTCCTTTTCTGACTTGGACCTGGTTCAGGCACGCACGACCTCATCAGCATTACCACAGAAGGTGAGTGCACAGGTGTAATTTTTTGGTTATATTTTGAAGTTCTGACTAAAATATGATTCAAGTCTTTCTTTGCTGGTTTTGGTCTCTTGAGACGTTCCTTTATCTGTGATTGTTGAAGCATTGTGTGTGCTCTGGTATGAGAAGACCATCACCTGTCTGTAAAGGGTGTGTTTGCTTCCATTTTCTAGGAGTTCCTTGACCACCTAACTTTGCATGTTTTGCTTGCTATCACAGAATTTCTCCTTTTGAGGCTGCTTATAATGTTAACAACTTCCCGTGCATGTCTTTATTCTGTCTATTGTCTATGGCTTCTAACTTCCTGCGCTTCTGCATATGTCTTTATTCTGTCTATTCTCAATGGCTTCTAATTATCCTTTTTCTTTCTGCTAGCGTTCTCTTCCTCATGTTCAACCATCTCAACATTCTGTTGGCCGTCAAACTCCTAGCATGAGAACACCCTATTCGATGAGCCAGTCTCAAGGTCCGACCCAATCAGCTACTTGGGATAGATGGGAAGCCCTGAAGCAAGGAAGTTCACAAGTTGGTGTTAATCGGGCACTTGCTGGTGGACAACACACCCGAGTTGTCACTACTCAGCAAACCACACAGGTGGTGAGACCTGTTTACTCTCCTAGAACTGTGCCTCCACTCCCAGGTAGTGCTGACAGGTTCAGGACACCATTGGCCCCGGACCAGAGGGTTAGTACAGGAGGCATGACACCAGTCACAAGGACAGATAGTTCCGTGGATCCCCAGCTAGATCCAAACTGGCGGCCTACAGGCCGTATGCGTGGAAGCCTTTCAGGACGAGCTTATTCTGAAGCACTGCAACAGTTCATACTTAAGCCAACACAGCAAGCTCAAGCTCAAGCTGCCAGACCATCTATTCCACCTAATCTTTCACCCCAACTGCAAGTCCTTTTGGCTAATAGAGGTGCTCATAATACGCAGCCAGTGAACTTTCCATCTACAGCTCCTGCCAATGCATCTGATATTTCAGGCATTTTACCCGAGCGCTCCTCAGGAATGCAGTAGAACTAGGACATGTTTGTTGGTGACTGTATTTATCGTCACAAATTTTGCTTCCATGGTCACTTTACAGTACAGATACCTTGACCCAGTGTTATATTACACGTAGATAGGGGAAAATGCCGTTCTTTCTTTTGTAAATTCCAATCCGAAGTGAAGCTCAACTCCCATCTCACAAGCAACAGTTTGACACTACTCTAGTGTGACAAAAAGTAGTCTCTGAGTTTGTTATTATAGTAGGTAATATTTAATGACCATGTGTGGAATTTTTCTATTGTAATTCAACATGTTTGACATATAATATATCATGAAAACTCAGGTTTCTACTAAAATATAATCATTTAAATGAATGATCCTTACCCACCAGTATCCCAAAGCCATTCTCAGAATTCACTAGTGCCCCTTTTGTAGCTGATTTTCTGGCAATTGCCTGCCATCCCTCTTTAAAATGGCAGCCTAACCTAGCCCTTAGCAAACTGCGGGCTAGGAAAGGCCACCCTTGTTTTTCTTCTTTCTAATGAAAGTCGATGTTGTTTCGGATGGACCCATAAAATTTGGGGCCCAAAAGAGTTGGTGGAACAAATTTAAGAAAATCAATGGACTAAATATACATCGAAAAAATCAAAAGATTTTAAATTTTTGCTTTGTGATCCCAAAATGTAAAAATAGTGACATGAGCCATGACGAAGCAATGAGTATTGGTCTCATGCCGTTTTAGATGGACCCGCCAAGTTTGGAGTCCAAAAGAGTCTGATTTTTAGCATTTAGGGGTCATAAAATCGAAGTTCAAGACCTTTCTCACCTTTTCGGGTGTGTATCGAATACAAAACTGGGAAAATCACTTTATTCTTGTTGAGTAGTCCTAAAATACTAACAAAAGTGATGTGGATCATGGTGATGCTATAAAGATTGTTCTCTAGATTATTACAGACAATCATGTAAAGGTTTTGGTAAAAAAACTGTCAAGAAAACATATCACCAAAAAATTCATGGACCAACACATACGAAAAACAGAGAAAATTGTCTAATTCTTGTTGAGTGACACCTAAATGCTAAAAAAGTGGAGTTGATCATGGTGAAGCTATAGATGTTGTTCCCTAGGTCATTACGGATGGTCCTATAATGGTTTTGCAAAAAAAAATATCGAAAGTCATTTAACAAAAAAAATTATGGACAAACACTTTGAAAAGTGAGAAAATTGTCTAATTCCTATTGAGTGATCACTAATTGCTAAAAGATGTGTCGTCGATCATGGTGAGGTTATAGATATTGTTCCCGAGGTCATTACAGATGGTTCTGTAAAAGTTTTGGAAAAAAAAATGTCTAGAAGCTGTATCACCATAAAATTCATGGATTAACACACATGAAAAACTGAATTTTTTTTTCCTAATTCATGTTGAGTTAGGCGATTGTCTCAGTTTTTCGTGTGTATTGGTTCATAAATTTTCTGTTGATATAACTTTCGGGTATTTTTTTTGCCAAAATCTTTACAAGGTCATCCACAATGACCCGAGAAACAAAACCTATAGTCTCACAATGATCCACTTCATATTCTTTTAACATTTAGGGACGACTCAACAAGAATTGTGTGATTTTTTTTCAATTTTTTGTGTGTTCATAATTTTTTAGGAATATCATTGGCCAACTCTGTTTGGTCAATTTTTTTTAGATACATCTATAATGACATGGGTACAATACCTATAGTCTCAATGATCCACTTCATTTTTTTAAATATTTAGGGGTCACTCAACGAAATAATGTGATTTTCTCAGTTTTTCATGTGTTAATTCATAATATTTTAGGAATATCATTGATCGACTCTGTTTGGTCCTTTTTTTTTTTTGGAATCATATGTAATGACCTAATGAACTATATTCGTAGTTTCTACATGATCTACACTGCTTTTTTAAAAGAAAAAACATTTAGGGAACACAAAACATAAATTCATAATTTTTTTAATTTTTTATGTGTGTAAGTTAATAAATTTTTGAAAATATTACTGACCCTTTTTTTAGTCAGTTTTCTTTAGAACCATCCATAGTGACATGATGATTATAATTTATACCTATATCTTCTACATAATTAAAGTTAACTTTTTTTTAGCATTAGATTTACAAAATAGGAATTCAAGATTTTTCTTTGTTTTTGATGTGTAGTAGTCATAATGTTTCAAAATATTACTGACCTGCCCTATTTGGCCTTAATTTTATTTTTAGGGCATAATTGATCCCTTTCCATTTTCGTATAAATGTCATGTGGTAAAGTCAAAATGACATGACAATTCCATGTGGCATTTAAAGAAATGGAAAATGAGCTGGATATGTCCAGCAGGCCAACTAACGCCCATAAGGGCATATCTAGACGAAAAGTTGGACGGCGAGGGCACGAGTGAGCCAAACTTTAAACGAAGGGTATATCTAGACATTTTCGAATAGTTTAGGGGCATATTTGACCCTTTACCCTATAAATAATGTACATTTTGATCATATTGATAAACTAAATAGCTGATGATTATATTTACAGCAATTTCACATCAGGAGATCAATAACACAATCCTACAAATAAGGTCTGAAGAAGGAGATGCGCAAGTAACCTTACCTCACTATTATTTTAATCAATTCGAATATTCAACTCAAGTAAAACATATCAAAATCAAATATAAAACTACAATAAAGAAATAAAATAAATAGGTAACCTAAAAACTAAACCAAAAAAAAGAAAAAACACAAAGAGAGTACTTATAAAACAAGGAGCTTTTGCCAACAATATTTAGCCCCCAACCCACAATATATATATTTGTGCTCTCTCTTTAAAGAGTGGCATTGTTCTCTGGATTCTTCCCATTTTGGGTGCTATGGGGTCAATGTTTGGTGAATGGCCCTCAATTGACCCTCACAATTTCAGCCAGCTTCGCCCTTCTGATCCCTCAACTCCTTCTGTAAGAACCCTTTTCATTTTTTTTCAATTTTTTTTTATATAAAACTTAAATCTTTGATTTTTTTTAACACCCTTTTCCCCATTCAATCTGTTTTTTGAATTCTACTGTGTTTTTAGCTGATTTATGTTCGACCCATTTTTGTCTGATAGCAAAAAATGCATTCTTGGGATAATTTTAGCTGATTTGTGTTCCTGAATGGAGCAGAATGAAATCCAGCTAATTTGGGACTGAAATGTTGTTGATTATTTTGTTGACCCATTTTTGCTATGTTTGTTTTATGCAAAAAAAAAAAAAAAAGTGTTGGAACAATTTTGTGGGTGTATTTGAAAAATTCTTGATCTTTTCAAGTTAGAGTTTTTATTTGGAGAAACTTTGATTTGTGTTAAGAGATCAATTGTTTAGTATTTGAAATGAAATGGGTCCGAACGGATCAGAATGAATATGTATATATAGGGAGAGAATTCATATAGCTGAAGTGTTGAACCTAGCTAATTTGGGATTGAGATGTATTACGTTTCCCTCTGTTTTAATTTGTTTGTCTTACTTTCCTTTTCAGTTTGTTTAAAAAAGAATGTCTCTTTACTTTTTTGTCAGCTCTTTAATTTCAACTTTCAAGATTAGAAGGCATTTTGGTATATTCTACGTATGTTGAGTTTAAGTCTACTTTACTTTCGTAAGCTCCGTGTCAAGTCAAAATTAGACAAACAAATTGAAAAAGAGGGAGTATTAGTTAATTGACTGTCGTTTTTTGCATGCTTATGTGGTGTTGTGTTACTAAAGCTAGCATAAAATACTCTGATTTAGGCTTAAGGCTGATATTTCAGTTTGAGAATGTTTTCTGATGTAATGATGTTTGATTTGCAAATGGGCTATAGGGTTACCATAATGGTGCCTAATCTATAAAAGAGTGATATTTAAGCTATATGTAATTTAATGCGGATTTTGTATAAGTGTATTCTAGTTTTGGTGCATTAACTTCTATCAGATAGACGGCATATACATATATCAATGCGTGTGGAGATATCATATTACCTCAAGCAATAATGTGGATCATTATTTATCGGAAAAATGAAACAACAAGAAGAATTGAGTACAATCTATGTAGCTGTCTTCTTGATGGTTTGGTGGTGTCTAGGTTTAATTTGTCGCTTCTGTGAGACTTAATTGCATGCTATGCTCAGCTTTGTGTAAACAATCCCTCTTTGCTAGTGTAGACTCACACCACGTGGCATTTGCTGCCATAATACATTGTACACTAGCTTAATGATAATTGCGTATTAGATTGTTATCTATTATGACATTGGTTATAAGCATGCACTGCTTATGTTACTGTTATTTCAGTTACTCTTACTTCTGAACGCATATTGATAAATATGTAGGAGAGGAATCAGAAAACAATAATATTCTAAGACTTCGTAGAAAAGATATATAATACTTGTTTCAATGTATTTTTACTATCTGTTGCTTCATTTTTCTTTGTATCTTGTCATCTTTTTCTTCCCTCCCCGGACACCACTTGTGGGATTCCATTGGGTATGTTGTTGTTGTTGTTGTAGGGTATAACATGTTAGTATGAAATGTCTTACTCTCAAGAGAAGCGGAAAAAAGAAGCCTTATCGGCTCTTGTATTACCATAACAACATTTTCATTAACTGATACAACTTTTTTCCTTTTTTGAGTTCCTTCTTACCTTTTCTCATTGTGCTTCTTGGCTCCTTGAATATGATCCCATTGATCCTTCGGCTTTCAAGCCTCAAGAAGCAATTGAAGACCTCATCTTCGTCCCCCGTTATGTCGACCAATCGTTTACCTCGCTTTAATGTAGTTCTTTTGATCCACGCTGAAGCTACCACCTTTAATCCTTTATCTGTGGTGGCTAATTTAATTGCTTGGAGAGAAGTGAGAAGGTTGATTTTCTTCTTGTGGTGACAGTCTTTTTCTCAGTGGTGCCATGCTTTGCTTCTATTTACAGCATTCACTTTAATTTCTCTAGAACCGTGTATGTTACAACACTAGGTTTATGATTTACCTTGTGAGCTTTTGATGTAGAAGAGCTGCAAATTATTTGAAGCATCTATTATCCACAATAAACTTTTTCTATATTATTGTTGTGTATACAGTCTGGTCTCCCTATTTCCTTGCCCTTTCCCCCCTTTCTGGTAGTTAAAACTTAAAAACAAAAATAATGAAGGTAAATATAGTGGAGTGTTTGAAGATAAAGTTACTTGGATAACTCATACATTGAGGCTCATTATGTCTCCAAAGGAGTTGTCGTGAAGCTGAATTTGTGAAGTTACTTACTACTTACTATAATGGTTTCCTATAACAATCGGCTTGAGGGACTCTCTTCACGGGAAGTCATGCCTGGGCAAGGGTAGTACTAGGATGGGTGACCCCCAAGGAAGTCCTTGTGTTGCATCGTTGCTTTGAATGGCATGATAAGTGAAGTGAACTAACATTTGTAATCTGCATATGCACTTCCAAATCTCTTTAAAAATTATTATAGCATTACATAAGTGTTCCATGATGAAGTTATTTGTTGGTAAACCTTTTGTACTTTGACTTTTAGTAGCTGAAACAATCTCTCTGTTTCTTTTTTTTCCAGTTTCGAGGATACTAGTTTTTTTTTTTTTCCACTTATCTAATCCTGTGTTCTTTCTTTTTCTAGAGAATGACACCCGTGACTTATCGCCCTACTCATGATAGGACTCTTCCTCCACCAAATCAAGGTAAATCAAGAACATGATTCTTTTTGTTTCTTACACATCTTTTGATATCATAATTTACATTTATCTTTTAGTTGCTCTTACCCTCTACCTTTATCAGGTATTTGGATTATATACATTTGACTAGAATCCTTGAGCCAAGGGTTTGTCAGAAATAGACTCTCTACCTTCCAAGGTAGGGGTAGGGTCTCTATGCACACTACCCTCCTCAGACCCCACTTATGGGATTACATTGGGCATGTTGTTGTTGTATATATTTGACTATACTAACCTCCCACCCTTCCTCCCTAAGTGGATGGTGAATGGAATAACTTTAGCTCAGCTGCTGTTATTGGTTATTCTTATGAGTTGGTCCTTAGAATTAAGCCAGTCATCCTCTTGAGGATTTGAACTTCAGTTTATTCACTTTAGAAGTTGTTTCAACCTCAAATGATTGTGTCGCAAAAGCATTGGGCCCGGATCAATAAGGTTGCCAACTGGCAATGAGTTGTTTATGAGTAGCAGAATCAAGCACCCGTAATTACTAGTTTTGAATTTTTCGCTCCGGCTTTTGTGAAGATAAACAGTCTAAAAAGTTCTCTGTGGATGCTAGTGTTGAGGCTTTCATCGAAACAAAGAGTGAGACCTGTCTGGTGCTTTTTTCTATGTTAGTCAGGTGAAAGTAAATAGATTAGTGTATTAAGTAAGGCACTGCTAAAGCCTCTATTCCCGTTTTTTGAGCGATAAAACTCTTAGCTTCCAGCAAGCTAGGTGCATAAGCTTTTTTTACTACATAAAAGATTCCAAGAAATGCAGGCAGGGTAGAGCTCGGCAGAGGGTTCGAGAATAGGGTAGGGTAGGGTCCTTAAGATTCAATAAGAAAGAGTGTGCCTTTAAAGCAAATAATGCAGCCCTTTTCTTTCCTCATATGGCTATATTTAATTCAAAACTCCTGTAAATGTGTGTGTTTACAAGTGACAATTTGTCATGTTCATCTCCTGTTATGAAATTGTGGTTTAATTCTTTCGGATAATATTATAATTATCTTGCCCCACTACCACATCTCTATACTCGACTAAGAATGATTTCAATTGCACTAGGATAAACTACTTTTCAATAGCTTTAATTGCATCATCTTATGTAAGATCCTATTACCGAAAAGGAAAAAAGGGAATTCTCTTTGGTTGTAACATTTGGTAAATATAGTATCAATAGCCATCTAAAGTACATTCATGTTATTGGTATTAAACTTTTATGAGGATGCACATATTCGTGAGCCGAGGGTCTATCGAAAACAACTTCTCTACCTTTGAAGGTATGGGTAAGTTGCATACACACCACCCTCCCCAGACCTAATCATGAAAATCTAATGTAATGTGCACGTTTGTTTGTCGGTTTACTTTCTCATGCTTCATCTCAATCTTTTCTTTTTTTCTTTATTGAATCTCGATTAATCAGATAAGGGAAGTATACTAGATATGAATTGCGTGAGCTTAAAACTTTTGCACTTAAGGTATGCTTATATCTAACTCAACATATACTAATGACCTGCATTTGAATTTCCAGTTATTAGTTCAGAAGCCAAAAATATACTTCTGAGACACCTAGAGCAGCGTGCTGAAGAGAAGGTCAGTATTCATTTTGATCGACATTTATTCCTTCTTTTGATGGATATTTGGCAATTTGTAATTGTGTTATATTGTGAGGATTCATCTTAAAGTGACTAGTTTTACAATGGCTATCAACCTATTGCAATGTTTCTCCTTTATCCAGTCTTGTGACCGACAATATGAGCAAACTCACACATAATCAATGAGGATTCGTATAACCAACCCTAGCTTCCTTGGGATTGAGGTGTTGTTGTTGTGAAATGTGTTCTATCCCTTTACGGTTAAAATGCTTTTTTGTGTTGTAGTTGAGACCAAAGCGAGCTGCGGCTGAAAATCTGGCACCCGAGCATGGGTCGAAGCATCTTAAGGTATCCAACTGAGATGCTTTTCTTTTTGGTGCTACCCCCGGGCGGGAAGAAGATGAGGTAATGCGAAACAGGACGATACACAACTTGGTTTTAGAAGAGTAACTAACTTCTAAATAGGTTAAAATCTTCTGGTTTTCTGCATATTTCTGTAAATATTGCTGTAATGATGCAGATGCATGTTGTTGTAAAACTATGAAGAGCTTGTTTATCACTAGTCATATAGCAAATGAGATGTACACTAGAGAAAATGTTGTTGGATGAGATTTCTCTGCATGAGTATTGATAAATGTTTCATGCTGAGGGTTTATCGGAAACAACCACTCTACTTTGTGATCCTCGAAAACGTCCTCTCTACATTGTGACCCTCGAAAACAACCTATCTACCTTGTGATCTCGAGTTAAATGATTAAATATTTTGGGTTCGATATTTAGGAATGGAGAATTTTTTTATAAGAAAGATGAGTTTCTTTAGCACGTATACCATCAAATCTTTTTACAACAAATCGTTCTCTATAATAACTTTTCCCTTATAACAATTAAAGTTTTGAAATTGATTTTTCATATTATGTTCTATCATATATTCTCTTATCTCTATAACATCTATCTTGTTATAACAACTAAAAAAAAATATTCAGACAAATAACGAAATATATCATTTTACTAATTCAGTTGTGGGGTTAGCAAGTGATATGATCAAACTTTTGTATAATGATATTTTATTATAATGATCAATTTTTTTTAAATTGATTTTTCATGTTATGTCATGTTATATATTCTAGATAACATCATTTTGTTGTAACAAACAAAAAAATATATTTACAATTCAAAGAAGACTCAGTCAATTTGTTTGATAATCAGAGACATCATTAGTACTTTCTCATCTATTTCTCATTGGCTGCTAATTAATTAACTAATTGCTTATCATATTAATTAATTAATTAAGCTATATTTCCCTTTTCCCCACACACACATATGGTCCTATCATTTTTCTTAGTCAATTTTTTTTTCTGTCTAATCTTAGAAATTGAACAAAGTATTATAAGTTCCACTACTGTTAATCCTATTTTTTTAATTTTTTTTTTGTATTACCATATGGTCTTTGGACATCTCATCAATAATTAATATAATGTTTGATTGGCGAGACTAAATAAATTCACATTAAGTTATGTGAGAATTTGTACATTATTTCATGCGAAATAAAATATTAAATATGAGTACGTGTACCAGTAATTACACGAAAGATAAAAATATTGATAGACAAAAAATGCTAACGTTACAAAATAAATTGGCTAAGTTGAATCTATCGTTAAATATCCAGTAGCTAACATAAGTTTTTGATAATTCATCATTAAATAAGATTAACAACATATATACATTTTATCCTCTCCAAACTCCACTGGTGAGATTATATTGAATATGTTGTTATGGTGGTAAACTATACATATTATAATATTAATTCCTTTCTTGTATTATTACTCATCGTGTAACATTCTTTTCTATTTTTTTAAATTTCTTATTCAATATTTAATATTTATATCAAGGTTCGATTAAATTTAAATTCGTGTATTAAAGTTTACATTGTGAACCAAATGACTTTTAAAGGCTGGAAATAGTGACTAGTACATATGTAACATGTTGTGATATGAAGAATTGACCAAGGAATGGTTGTGGAAATAGAGGCCTAATTAATTCTTGAAAGCAACATGTGAGTAATTGACCTAAGATATTAATAGTCCTAGAAATTATTTAAAGATTATTCTAAAATAATTTCCAACATTAATTTTCCAAAATAGTTAAATTTCTGACTGAGATTTTACAAATGTTGATTTTCAACTTTCAGGGCAAAGTAGGGCTACATTTATTCCTATATTGACTTGACTAGAAACCAAAGTTCAAAATAGGAATTTTTGACGGTTCGATATCTGAAATTTACTAGTTCGAAATATTTGAATTTGTGTTGAATACATAATCCACCGGGGATAATGCGTTTTCTATCCATAAGTCGTCGATTTCCAAGACTTGAATTGAATCCACATTAAAATTTCACTCATAATTGATGTTTATATTAAATCATTCTAATTCACGATTACCTTATAAATTAAGGTGAGAATATGAATTAATCAATTATTATGATTTAGTGATATAAGTGTATCTCAAGACATGTAGGTATGTATTTGTTGGTTCACTTAAACTCAAAATATTTGGTTAAGCATGAATGAATGTACGTAAGCTTCAAGCAGTGTCATGTGGCACACCATACCACATTAGGTAACAATATAATAAAGAAAACGACACAACTTGTCATTTAATGATTTATTCATTTACTCACTTCTTCAAGGAAATATTGATTTCAGTTAAGAAAAATTATAATATCAACTATCCCATCAAAATTGTTGACGGTCAAACTTTGCATATTTAGAAAGTGAAAGCCAAGCAATTTAACTTGATTAGAGTATCATAAAGTAAAAGCCATCCACATGTTTGACCATTTTCTCCTCTTAAATAAATATATTATTATTTTTCTATAATTTTTTGATTTTTATTTTATGGTTTTGGTACAAATTCAATGAATGAATAAAAATCTTTCTTGCTTATGAATCACATGTTTCACTTTTTTTCTTCACTTGCGTATGCTGCAAATATTCCTAATATTTGGTCAATAATAAAAAAATTCTCATGTTAATATTTATGAGAATATTTGACCAAATATTTTCTAATTTAGTGACTATTTGATATTTTATATTTTAAAAAATCACTTAATTAAAATCATGTCTACACTGTATTAATTCCATGTTCTCCAAAACTAAAAAATTGATTGGTTGACCAAGTAATCTTGAGTGAATAAAATTTAAATTCTCAAATAGTTAAACAATTTTTATGAATATCCATGATAATATAGTTGACCACTATAGGCCAAATTCCAAACATGAAAAAAAATGAATAAGTTTAACTTTTATATATCGATAACGTAATAAAATTTTATATTGCTACCTCGAAAAAATTATAGGTAACATATTAATAGATCAATCACATGCGTCAAGGATCCTCATAAAAGGTTACTTTATAAATAAATAAAACTATTATACATCAAAAATTTATATATATATATATATCAAAATTTTGAATCACCTTAACATAACAGAACTACAAGTTTAAACACATGAGTGACGATCTTGAAATTTTTGCTTTTTACTTTTTTATCATAATTTAATTTCTGGCTCTGCCACTAGATTGTAATGCGGTGATAGTGGATAGAATATCTTAAAAGATCATATTTATGAGAATCTTAAAGTCATGAACAATATTTTAATAATTTTAAGACTCCACATTAAAAAACAAGTGCTTCATGAATTTTGATCGAAATTTCTTCATACATTTAAGGAAAAAAAGTTAGGTAATAAGTTATGATTAGTCAATTTAATAACGAGTAAATACAATGAATATAGAGAATTAGAATTGCAAATGAGATAAATGAAAAATGAATTTTAAATCACATTTTATTTCTTTCTACTTAAAAACAAACAATTCAACGTGTAATGTATGGCTCCAATTAATTCAATTTCTAACTGTATGCTTTAAGCAAAAAATAAATAAATAAAAAAACATAGCACGTGTTGATAACCACTAGTTTTTTTTTTCTTTTTTTAAAAGTTAAAATAAAAAAAAGACTAGTTCCATTTGTTCACTCCCCCAAGTCAAAATGTAATAATTTATAAAAATAAAATTAGTAAAAAATATGTTTGGTTTTTTGTTTTGGAATTAATTGATAATCTCAAAATTATTTATACTATGATTATAGTATTATATAATAATCTCAAGATTATTAATCACGAGATAAAACAACAAAATAACACATTTGCCCTTCTCCAATTTTTATCTCACAAATAATTTTATTATTTGTAAACTTTTTAGAAGGTATATTCCTGTAGAGTTATATATTCTTGTGGACCACTACACGTACATAAGAACGGATTAGATAGCGTTGAGGAGTTTCATTCGAACTCCTTTAAATAGAGAATTACATTATTTATAAATGATTAGAATTACTTTTTATATATATGTATAGTAGATATACTTATATTTTTTTTAACTTCTTCGTGTATTTAATTTTAATAAATTTTTCAATTCCACCATATACATACGTATGTTGCAATTTTGGATAGAAACAAATTTATTCTCTATATCATGTAAATATTATAGATGCAATATTAATTTGGAGATAAGGTACGATTTCCTATTTTTGTCTATTAATTTTGAAACATTATAAAATATTAAATATATACACACAATCCCACTTAGATTTTGACTAAAATCTATACAACATAGTTTTTCAACAAAATGCAATCAACACAAACTTGAATATCCTTCTAGGTCCTTTCCTCACTGTAGATCATGGGCCAATACAAAACATGTTTTTTCTTAAAGGCGTGTAAGGTGATGTGACTTTGTATCGATATATTTATTCGAGTATGTATGATTAAGATGGTAATACGTAAAATAAAAATAACATAATTTTGGAGAAGTTACACGATAGATCGGAGATGGTTGTCTAGCTAGGGTAGAGAGGCATGCATGTTGACTGGTATTTATTTTTGTTGGCGTGAAATACTCATATTCATTTTACATGATGTTTGAAATTAGAGTATTTCATAATTCGATATAATTTTTAATTTTTAATTATTTGATTGTGAACATTTTTACAAAATGAATACATAAAATTTAAATTCTTGGTAGATTTATGTAAATATCTCTTTTTTAGGTTACCATTTAAATTTTATTTCTATTTTTAATATTGTGCAAATACAACACTTAAAAAATTGTCCTTCTGAATAACACTAGACTCAAGTCTAATAATGTTTACTCATATATTACTTAACCATGCATATAAAATATCAGATTGTCAACTAATGCTGGTAAATAATTTGTAAAATTTTAGATCGTGCCAAACTTTTTTTCTTAAGATTTTTCAATTTGTTCATGTGAAAAATTTTAAATTGTGATTTTAAAATTCATACACTATAAAAAGAAATAAAATAAGAATCATTTACTAAACAGTTCTCAATAAAAGGAATAATTTGCGAAAATATCACTCAATTCTTACGAAATTAATTAAAGATGGGACCATTTCTAGTTCATCACTAGTGCGTTATTACCATATCGATTACGTACTAATTAATTAATTACTCTTTAGATTTTAAAATAATTGCTGTTTTAGCTTTTTTAATTTTCATTAAGAAAAATATAAATATAAAGTATCACTTACTAATTTGCTCGATTTATTAAATTATTTTTTTAAAGTTAGTATTTCAATAAAAGGGTATAATTAAAAATAATTAACAATTATTATCTTAATTTTCTGAAGCGAAAGTTATTTTTAAATCATTTTTTTCCCACTAGAATAACATTTATTTTGGAACGAAAGGAATACTGTTAAGCAGCCATATACTTCCAAAAGAAAAATGCTTTTTTAATTCTGTGTTCTCTATTTCATGGAAATTTCTTCCCCACAAAAAATAATAATAATTGAGTCAAAAACAAAGTATTATAAATAGGTCATTCACTACATGTCCATTCTATCAACTAAAATTTCAAAGTCTCTTTAATTTCTACCAAAAAAATAAAAATCTCTATATTAGCAAATTAGCCACCAACAAAAAGAAATTTCCAAACTTTTTTTTGATAGTTTTTGAGTTTTATTAAGAAAAAAATGGGGTTAATTTCAGAAAATTATAACAAGAATCTTCTTTCAAAGATAGCCACAAATGATGGTCATGGAGAAAATTCAGCTTATTTTGATGGTTGGAAAGCTTATGAAAATGATCCATTTCATCCAACACAAAATCCTCATGGTGTTATTCAGATGGGTTTGGCTGAAAATCAGGTATGAGAAATTAATAATCCGTATCAGTTTGGGTGCACCTCAATTATTTTTATCGTAGATCTAATTTAATGTATCGGCAATTCTATCCAGTAAGACTTAGACAAATGATTAAAAATTACCTAGAGCCTCTATATACCCTTTTCTTGATAACAGTTGTTCAGATCAGTTTTCGTGCATCTGAATTGTTTCATGTGATACTAGATAATTCTATTCATCAAAATTTAGACATAACTAAACAAAAAAAAGAAATCATCTATAGTCTCTTTGAAGGGAGATGTAGCTTTTTGTTTTTATGAGTTGAACTGAATTCAGTATTTCAATAAGAAATATACACTACTAAAACATATAATGTGTTTAGGCTAAAAATATCTACGAGGTTGAACTCATCAAGTTTAAATCTAACGATTTGTGTTTTCTTGTTTTTTTTTTTTTTTTGCAGCTTTGTTTTGATTTAATTCAAGAATGGATAGTCAACAACCCAAAAGCCTCAATTTGTACCTATGAAGGAGTTCAAGATTTTCAAGATATTGCTATTTTCCAAGACTATCATGGTTTGCCAGAATTTAGAAAGGTATATATATGATATGATATATCATTTCGGTAGAATTCAGTAATTTTAGTCTAAATATATGTGTTGACCAATCTACTAAATACGTACATATAATAAATTGTAAACCTAGTGACATAAATTAAGTGACGAATCGTCAGAATTCATAAACGTTAAATTCTGAATCCGTGTTTTTTCTTGGGAATTGTGCAGGCAGTTGCAAGATTCATGGAGAAAGTTAGAGGAGATAGAGTCACATTTGATCCAGAAAGAATAGTTATGAGTGGAGGAGCCACAGGGGCTCATGAAAGTTTGGCCTTTTGTTTGGCTGATCCTGGTGATGCATTTCTAGTTCCTACACCATATTATCCAGGGTAAGAATCCACTTTTTTTTTTATATAAGAAAAAATATATTTTTAAAAAAAAACATAATTTTTTTGATAAAAGATAACCGTTCATAATAAATGAAAATAATAACATAATAAAATAACACAAGCCACATGTATCATCTACTACAATAAGTTAAACTATACTACTATACGATCAAATCACGTAAAAGATAATTATATAGCTTTTAAAAAATAATTTATGATGATAAGATTCTTTTCTTTAAATTAAACTTTAGTTTTCTGTTATATTGGTACCAAGTAAATTATTTAATTATTGGTGTGGGACATATATACAACTACTTGCAAGAAAATGAAAAAAAAGTAGTGATAACCTCAATAAGTTTGTGGCCATAAATGACAAATAACAAAAACAAAAAGACATATCATATCATACCAACTTTCTATTAGATTGGACCATAATGAATTAATTATTATTTGTCCCCAATAGCAGCCATACATAAAAAAAAATTAAAAAAAAGCTCAAGATTATCTAAAGAAAGTTGACTTATTGATTGAATATTTCAAAGTCAAAATCAATGAATAGTCAAGTTGAATATAGATTTAGAACAAATATATAATTTTTATACTATGAATGTATTTTAGGTAGATAGATACTACTGACGTACAATTTCTGTCGCTAATTAAATAACAACAAAAAAAAAAAAATCAATCGTTACTCTTATTTATTTTTGACTATTTAACGACAAACTAATTATTATTGTGTTGTATTGCAGATTTGATAGAGATTTGAGGTGGAGAACAGGAGTACAACTTTTTCCTGTTGTTTGTGAGAGTTATAACAACTTCAAGGTAACAAAAGAAGCCTTAGAAGAAGCATATAAAAAAGCTCAAGAATCAAATATCAAAGTAAAAGGATTACTTATAAACAATCCATCAAATCCATTAGGTACAATTTTGGACAAGGAAACATTAAAAGACATACTAAGATTCATCAATGACAAAAACATACATCTAGTATGTGATGAAATCTATGCAGCAACCGCGTTTAGTCAACCTTCATTCATCAGTATATCAGAAGTCATGAATGAAGTTGTTGGATGCAACGATGATTTAGTACATATAGTGTATAGTCTCTCCAAAGATCTAGGGTTCCCTGGATTTAGGGTTGGGATTATTTACTCGTACAATGATGTTGTTGTCAATATTGCACGTAAGATGTCAAGTTTTGGACTTGTTTCAACACAAACACAACGGTTAATTGCTTCCATGTTATCAGACACTATCTTTGTTGAAAATTTCATCGCGAAGAGCGCGATGAGATTGTCACAAAGACATGATTTGTTCACTATAGGACTAGGACAAGTTGGAATTACAACATTGAAGAGTAATGCTGGCCTATTTATTTGGATGGATTTGAGAAGGTTTCTTGAAAAGTCAACATTTGATGATGAATTGAAACTTTGGCATATAATTATTAATAAAGTGAAACTTAATGTTTCACCTGGTTGTTCATTTCATTGCTCAGAGCCAGGTTGGTTTAGGGTTTGTTTTGCTAATATGGATGATGCTACAATGCAAGTTGCATTGAAAAGAATTAGACATTTTGTCTACTTACAACCAAGTAAGGGAGTTGAAGTTGCAACAAAGAAACAATATTGTAGAACAAGGAGCAAACTTGAAATAAGTTTGTCATTTAGGAGATTGGATGATTTTATGAACTCTCCTCATTCACCTATGTCTTCTCCTATGGTCCAAGCAAGGAATTAATCGTGATGTTCAGATCAGCTTGCACACACATCGTCCAATTCAGGTTATATGGACATGTTGATTATTTCACTGAGTACCTGATTGTAAGTCTAGTTACATAACATAGAATGGAAGTTTATAGTGATTCTTTGTATTCTTTTATTAAAAGTTTATTATTTTTTTGCCTATAATATACTATGATTGCAAAAAAAAAAAAAAAAAAAAGCAATCAAGTTATGGGCTTTTATTATATTGTGAAATGTGAAATTCTTTATTTCTTGTGTTATTTTTTTCTGTATAGCTTTTTGTAAGTTGAGGAAACTCAATTTGTAACTTGAGTTCAAGAGGCAAATGCAGAGGATATATACCTATCAATTTTTTCAATAATAATTTCTCAGAGATTTTTTTTTCTTCTTATTTTGAGTGGAGAATTTAATAGAGACATTATTGTGAATACTCTGGTAAAGAAATTTAGATATTTTGTGCCTTAGGAGACTGTTTTGTCGTGTTAGATCACTAACATATCTTTTTTGTTTTTATTTGATCCCAAGAATGGATTGGATCAAAACAACTTTTTTATTTAAGTCCTCTATGTCTATATTAATTAATTTCTGACCTCATGAAATCTCCAAAATTAAATTTCCATTTTCGGTACTAATCTTATCAGTGGTGGATCCTAGATTTTCATCTTTCAGTCAAAAATAAAAGAAGCATACATAGTGAAAAGAAGCCTAGGATATTCAGCATATAACATACTTCAACAACAACATATCAATGTAGTCTCATAATAATTCAGTCAAAAATAAAAGAAGCATATAGGATAGATTTTACACAGACCTTACTCCTAACTCAGAGGTAGAGAGATTGTTTTATAATAGATCCTGACTAAAGAAAAACAGTCCTGAAAAAATAAGCAACAAAAATACAAAAAACAATAAATAATAACAAAAATAAGTAGAAGAGATAGTAACATAAAATAAACTACAATAAAATAATATAATACAATAATCGAGGAACATCCAACAACCAACAAATAGTAATAGAAATTGAAGAACAAGAACTTACAAAACAATACTACTACAACTAATATGAACTAACAACAATACAACGTACTACTATCATCTACTGACCTACTACCATAATCCATGTCCGATGATCCAGTACACCCTCATATCTTTACATCATTCCTCGATAAGCTGAATTCATCAACATATAATATTATTCGCGAAACCATGCATGTTTCAAAGCAGCTTCAGCAGTAATCCTTTTATTTGGATCATAAGTGAGAAATTTGTTCAAAAGATCAATTCCAGAATTAGACAATACAACATCTGTGAAGGATATTGATGGAAATCTCTTCCTTAATGAATAATTATGCTTTTTATTTACAAATTTAACTTTGTTTAATCCACAAAGTTTTGTAAATCCTGGCCATATTTTCTCATCTAGGGTTCCAAGAATTCCAAATATCTTATTAATTTGATCAATCTCCGACTTTCCATCGAAAATCGGTTTATTTGTTAGTAATTCAGCCATGATACAACCTATAGACCACATATCGATTGCATTCGAATATTTTTTCATACCCATTAATAGCTCGGGCGATCTGTACCACAAAGTAACAACTTCTTGAGTATAAGGTTTCAAGGGAGGACCACTTTGAGTACGTCGTGCTAGTCCGAAATCAGCAATTTTCAACTCACATTTCTCATTTATAAGTAAATTTGAAGTCTTTAGGTCACGATGAATAATCCAATTATAATGAAGGTATTTCACACCTTCCAAGAGTTGGAGCATAAGACATTTGATTTTCCTTTGACTGAATCGACGTTTTTCTGTTAATACTTGCAAGTCGTTTTCCAAGTATTCCATCACAATATAAAAAACGCGGTTATTGAATTTGGTTGTCGTGGTCCCTACGACGACTTCTTTAACATGTACAATTGAAGGGTGACGACAAGTGAGAAGAATTTCTATTTCCCTTATAAATGTTAAAGTAAACCCTTCTTCTTTGTCTTTTTTCAATATTTATAACTTTTTTAACGCAACAATTTCTCCAGTCTTTTTATCTCTAGCTTTGTAAACAACTCCATATGTACCTTCACCTACCTTGTTGAGCCTCTCAAATTCTTCCACACTTCTACAACCCTTAACCATGTTAACATGATTTAGCGACATACAAATTCAATAGCTAAACAGTAAAATTCGTTGCTAATAATTCTATTTTGCGATTAAATGGCTATTTAGAAAAAGATCGAAGAGGAAAGAAAACTTAATAGTCTCAAGGTAGCTATGTACGTTTCATATAGAAAATTGGAATATTTATAAGTAAATACTAAAAACCGATCACAAATAGGAAACCTAATTAGAATAGAATTAGATAAATTCCATAAATAAATTATAAACTAGTAAAGCCGAATCCTAAAATATTTAGGATTATTAATTACCCTTTTTGAGTTTTTTCCTTTTATGAGGTGATGTAAAAATAAAATTAAAATTGGTCACCTTAAAATACCGTTTAAGTATTTAAAAAGGAAAATTACTAAATTGAAAAATAAGCACGTAATCTACTACAGTATAATATATATGTTAAATTTACATCAATAACACGTTTTTTTTTATATATCGTTAATGTATATATGTCAAATCTTTTCTTTTTTTCTTTTAATAGTTTTCCCATTTAAGGGTATGTTGCAGCATGGAAAAAATGATTTTCATGAAAAATGTTTTCTTTCTGTTTCATATAATGTAAAAATGATTTTGTATATATTTTATTATGTCTTACATATTCAACCGTCCCCCTTGTAAAAAAAATTAAAGAATAGGGGTAAAATTATCCTATTTCGAATAGTTTAAAGTCAAAATTGACCTATTTTTTCTTATTTTTGGAGCAGCCGTTAGTGAAAGGGTAATTTTAAAGTTATTTTGTTTAGTTTCAGGGTATTTCTTAGCAAATAATATAACAGTAAAGGTAACTAAAACGACCCATTTTGAATAGCTCAACTCGACTCTTGGATATTTTCTTAAAATGGAATCTCATATAAATTATAAATACTATAAAATAAGATTTGATGATATTCATGGAGATTTTGTGACTATTTCAACTATAACAAGTTCTACACAATTGGATCGAAATTGTCGATGTATATAAATTAAATTGTTTTAACAAATAATAAAAGCATTTGAATTCTCCTCCATACTATAAACCCAATAGTGTTGTGTCATATTATGATTATAGTTCTTGTAAAGCTTTACAAGTTCATCAACTTTCTCATTATGATCATTTTGCCCCCTTCATCTTTTTTTATTACACTTTCATCCGTCTTTTTTTTTTTCTGGCTCTTTTGTTGATCCTACTAATAATATTTCTGGATTCAATAATATTATCTTCAATTTCCCCACAACTTGAACTAGATCCACATCTCCTATAACTGTTAATTTCTTCTCTTTTAGATCAATTGATAGAGTTTCAATTCCTGTAATATCGTGACAAAATCAGAATTTTCATTAAGGGGTTCAAAATATAAAGAAGTAAGCAGATGAACTAGTCAAATAAGGTTCAATATCTATTATATACATATACATGAAAAATAATTTTAATGATCATGTATAAATAATATAATTATTCAGTGATAAGAGTTCGAATGAACCCCTAGCCTCAAGCTGGTTCTGCCCCTAATCCATGAATTGTTAAATCGGGTGCATTATTCTACATTACTTCGTTAAAATTAATGTGTATATAAAAACATAAGTGTATATACAATAATATACAATAATTACTTATAATAATAATCAAGTACCTGAGAGGGTGGAGACAGCTTTCATAGCCTTTTGTTTCCCTTTGTTATCATGCACCTCTAATTTCAAAGCAATTTTCTGCACAAAAAAAAAAATCCTGAAAAATGCTGAAATAAATTGAAGGACAGAAATTTACAAAAGCAATAGTACGACTATTAATATGAACGAACAACAATACAACGTAGTATTGCCACCTATTGACCACCTACTACCCTAAATCATATGTCCGAAGATTCAGTACACCCTCATATCTTTAGATAAATTCATCAACATATAATATTATTCACGAAACCATGCATGTTTCAAAGCAGCTTCGGCAGTAATCCTTTTATTTGGATCATAAGTGAGAAATTTGTTCAAAAGATCAAATCCAGAATTAGATAATACAGTATCAGTGAAGGATATTGAGGGAAATCTCTTCCTTAATGAATAATTATGCTTTTTGTTTACAAATTTAACTTTGTTTAATCCACAAAGTTTGGTAAATCCTGGCCATATTTTCTCATCTGGGGTTCCAAGAATTCCAAATATCTTATTAATTTGATCAATCTTCGATTTTCCATCGAAAATCGGTTTATTTGTTAGTAATTCAGCCATAATACAACCTATAGACCACATATCGATTGCATTCGAGTAGTTTTTCATACCCATTAATAGCTCGGGCGATCTGTACCACAAAGTAACAACTTCTTGAGTATAAGGTTTCAAGGGAGGACCACTTTGAGTACGTCGTGCTAATCCGAAATCAGCAATTTTCAACTCACCTTTGTCATTTATAAGTAAATTAGAAGTTTTTAGGTCACGATGAATAATCCAATTATCATGAAGGTACTTAACACCTTCTAAAAGTTGGACCATAAGAGATTTGACTTCCCTTTGACTGAATCGACGATTCATTTTTTCTATTAACAGTTGCAAGTCGTTTTCCAAGTATTCCATCACAATATAAAAAACATCGTCGTTATTGAGTTTGGTCGTCGTAGCCCCTACGACGACTTCTTTAACATATACAATTGAAGGGTGACGACAAGTGAGAAGAATGTTTATTTCCCTTATAAATGTTAAAGGAAACCCTTCTTCTTCATCTTTTTTCGATATCTTTAACTTTTTTAACGCAACAATTTCTCCTGTCTTTTTTTCTCTAGCTTTGTAAACAACTCCGTATGTACCTTCACCTATCTTGTTAAGCCTCTCAAATTTTTCAACACTTCTACAACCCTGAACCATGTTAACAGGATTTAGAGACATACAAATTCAATAGCTAAACAGTAAAATTCATCGCTAATTAGCAATAGATTTCTGTTAGCTACGAGCAAATTAGAATAGTGAAAAAAATCGAGGGGAAGAAAATTTTAATAATCTCGTTGTAGGTATGTACAATTAACGTTAGAAAATTGGAATATTTATAAGTAAATACTAAAAACCTACTTTGATCAGAAATAGGAAACCTAATTAGAATAGAATTAAATAATTTCCAAAAATAAACTAGTAAATCCGAATCCTAAAACATTTAGGATTACTAATTAACCGTAATTAGATTTAATTAAAAATAAGGAAATAATAACAAAAACAGTACGAAATATT